AATACTTTTTAGAAATATGCATAAAAATGGTTACATTTTGTGTTAAACTTTGTGGGTTTTCAATACTTCGGACCAAAATTTCTTCGGGTACTACGCCAATGCGTGTTGGGTTAAAATTTTCTCAGATTGCTTTTTTTTTCAAGTCCTCTATGCTTACAATATGTTGTTACTTTTTTTTACTTCTATTTTCTTGTTTTGTTAGTAAAAAACCCCTTCATGGGAGCATATAGCACGCATACTGAATTTTCTATTAAAGCTCATCTTTTGTGGCAAGTAATGAGAAGTAAATCGCACGTAATATGCAATACACTCGGAAAAAGGTAACTCTCCTTTCTAGGTACGCAAAATTTTGCATATTCCTTTAACTTCAATTCGTAGATTGACAATCCAGAATTTAGAATTCAAAATTCAAATCCAATTTTCTCACAAATACAACAAAACAAATACAAAAAATAATGCAAAAATCAACGATTCCTTGCCGGCCTTGGAAGTGTGTAAATATTTTTTCACAAAAAATTGTTGAAATTCATTTTGCATCAATTTTAAAATAGACAAATATGAGAAAATTGCTACAAAAATAAGATCGTAGCTTGTGTGTTTTGCATAAAGTACGTGTCTGTGTCATTTCCGTTAAATTATGCTTTCCTCTATACTTTAACACATTTATGTTACACACTTACACATCAACAGACACATACATACATACATAGTTGCGCCTGAAAGTACGCAACTGAGTTCAAATATTGAAAATTCCTGCGCATTTTCATATCGGAATTCGCCTGCTGCTCTTCGCCTGCTGCTCTTGTAGATTTAAGTTCATCCTTTGCCCTTTTTTCCTGTTGGCATAGATTTTGCTAGTCTCCTTAAAATACCATTCGGTGCTTTAGGCTATGCTTAAGTTTCTTTTCTTTGGTTTCTTAAGTTACAAAATGATTTCCTGATTACTTTCATACTGTGCATATATTGAATTTTTAGTGAATTTGTTGTTGTGCTTGCCGGTGACAGGATGTTTTTAAGGAAATGCTGCGGAAATTTTTAGCTGTGTAATTTGGTTGTGTTGAAACAAATTTGACACATAATGAAATATTTAAATAACATTATTTAGAAATATCATCTGCTTTCTTTTTATTTTTAATGCTGTACGAGTTTAGTTGAAAAATGTAAACAAATTTGAAATATTTATTTAATCAAAACTAGCAGACGGCTAGACAGAATCTATGAAGCATGTAGGATTGAATATAAATACTTCATTTTTATTTAACAAAATTATAACAGAAATATATCAGGAACAGAGCCCTAAAATTATTCACCAAAGTTGAAGCGCTGCTCAACTCCGCCCTAACAAACCTCAAGTCCACCTCAGGACTCACAGGAAGATATGCTGACCTACGGTCCGTCATCAGTTACTAAAAAGAAGACATGAATTCCAGCATAGGTAAACCTTAGTGTGGGACAGGGATAAGCCCCTCAGCCACAAAAGAGTAAAAGTGCGCAATAGTACTAACTCAAGAAAATACCACAAAAACAACAGAAATTACAGTATGATATGATAAATATTAATAACGATAAAATATTACTATTACTTATATTTATTTTATATTTAAGTATTACTTATTTAGCTTACTATATGGGTATTCCGCACAAACCTGCAAGTCTCTTGCTAAAGTCTCTAATTTGTACGAAAAACAGCAACACTACACTGTCTAGAAAACTAGTTTGAAGTTTTAAGAGACTATAGAAAATTGTAAGCAAAGCGATAATTGTTCTATTGTAAACTTTAATTGGAGATTTTAACGAATATTTCAGTCGACTGGCTAAAGTTGTTTTTAACAAAAATTCAAATAAAATTAATAAATTTCACAAATTTCGGAATGGTAAAAAAAAAATTTTAAACAAAATCAAATTATTGTAGCACTTAAAATTGTTGCAGTCAACTTATTAGTGATTATATATATTATATATTTTATTATGTTGAGGCTAGTTGAGTCAGTGCACTTGAACAATTTTACTCTCTATTAAAAGCGAGGTTTCTTCATAACCCCTCTCTACTACGCCTTGACTGGATTATTGCTTATCACTTCATCAGACTAAGCAATAATTGACCTCAGATCTGCTTACCTCCCCGAAGAGACTGGAACCGTTCTGAGATTCGATTACGCGGTGTTGGCAAATCTGCAAGTTTTCGTAAATAATTTCAGGGCTCTATCCTTTATATATTTTTTGATCGGATCCATCTTGAGGTCTCTAAGGATGTCATTCGTCCTAATGTACCATGGTACTGTGAAAGTTTTTTCAGAGCCTGGCTTTGTGCAATTTGTAGCTGGCGAATTATAGTATATATACTGCACACAATTTGTCCTTGTGATGAAAGATGTATTATAAAAACATCGAGAAGTTGGAATAGAAATTTTAAAATCAGTGTTTTACTTAAGCGATGGTCTTCAATTAAGTGTGACTTTAATATTTCCCTACTTTATTTCTGAGGATTTAACAAATTTTATGTAAAACTCATGGTAACAAAGGTAAACCCTAGAAGGAAGAAAAATGGAGAATTGAAGAAGGACTTCACATATCTAATATCTCCAATTTTCTGAACCAAAAATCAGCCTCAGTAAAACCTACTTCAGTCTGATTGAGGTAATAAATTATTCGATTTCGAAGAATTAATTTTTTTTCTTCAAAATAGAAGAAATGCATACTCTTTTTAATCTTCAAAGCTTCTAATAAGCTTTCAGAGAAATAAAATGATTAATTTTATTATGCCATTAAAATCTGTGTATGACTTTAAAGAAAAAATTAAACATATTAGAATTAAAATCAAATACGTTTGTATGCAATTAAAGCATCATTCGAATTACACACCACATACACACCACACAAAAACACAGCATGCTACAGACACATACACCACACAAATTTATTCTGTTAGAAAATGTAACAGCAAATGTGACTTAAATGACAAAATAATAAGGAAAATGTGAAAATGAAATTTAGCACAAAAAAATAAAAAATAAAGGAAAAGTAAAAAAAAACAAAATGATAAAATTAAAGTAGCAGCAACAAGCACAGAAATTGATTGGGCGACAAGACAGAAGTAGCAACACTAACAACAACACTACGACAACACTGTAGCTCTGTCCTCCACATACGCAACAACATTATAGAGCAAAATTCATCTGTTAGTATGCGTGCGTGTATTTGTTCCAGCAAACAAATATCGATGAGTGTGTGTTAGTGCATGTATGTGTTTTTGTGTTAAAATTATAACGGTATTAATAGACATGTGTAAAGAGGGCACAGAGGGCGTTGTTTGACCACAATGACAATCGCAAACAGAAACAGAAACAGAAACACAAACAGCAAGAACAAAACTAAAATCAACCACACCGACGCACTGGTCGGTCGGCTGAGGCTGCTATCGTATCCACAGAGTCATGTCGTATGTCATTTTTCAATTAAATCAATTGAAACTGTTTGAATTCGCTGCCGCATAGCCACATAGCCACATTGCCATATAGCCACGCAGCCAAAATGAGACAAAGCTGCGCGCTTAAGCAAATTATTTCGTTTTAACGGTATTGTTGATTGTTATTGTTGGTGTTGTTGTTGTTGTTTTGCAATAACTACTTGCATGACCATCTGTGTGTATGCTGCGCCGACTTCTGCTGCTGCTGCTGCTGTGCTACTGTTATTATGACTGTTTAAATTTATATGGTTGTTGTTGGTGTTTCGGTTACTGATCGTACTGTTGTATCTCAACTATTAGTGAATTATTGTGTGCGGGAAGGGATTTTTTTGTCGTCTTTAACGTTCTTCAAACTTAATTAAAGATCAACTGTCTGACATGCGCACTGTTGCAACAGTTCTAGACTTATACTTTATATAGCAGAGAATATGGGGGTTAACCGAACGTCAGCTTTTAATTTTTGTTTTTTTTTTTGCCATATAAACAATTTAAATGTAATGACTATGGGCGTTTGTAGAATTCGGAGATCAGTTTGAAATTTGAGCTCGATCAGTGAACTTTGCTTAGTTGTTTACTTATCAAGACGGAGATTTGTTGAAAATATTAATATTATTAATAATTGAACAGTGTAATATTATATAAATTATATTCAAATACATAATTCTATATATATATGTGTATATGTATATACCATATATTCATTTAGTAAACAAAATATATTTTTAAAGTTTACTGATAGTGATTTAAAAATATTTTTATTAAATGCATTAAAAACATTTTTCTTACAAATAAAAACAATTAAAACAACAATGAAAATCGAAATGCAAAAGATTAAAATACACACACACACGTACATACTGCATACATGGTACAATATCAGTGCATTAAAGCATTAAACCAACAACAAAAACAACAAGAAGAACAAGAACAAACAATAAGAATTAAAACACGAGCAGCAGCATCAACTACAATAGCCGCTACTGCGGCCACTCATATTGACGCTTCGAGGTTAAGACCTTAAAATACGAGATAAACGTTATCGCCACTGCAAAAGGAATTTGTCGTTCAATGTAGCCGGTCTCTTAATCACTGCTGATTTGTTCGCTACGAGTTACAATTTAATCGAATTCATGTTTTAGTTAAAGCTCGACTGGATTTACTACGGTTTATTTTCACTTCAACCAAGTCGAGCATTTCGCTGAACTATATATAATTTCAAGAATAATTCTCAATATGGTTTGCACTAAAGAATCGTAAATAATAGATTGATACGCGAACACATGATTTAAAATGAAACTGAAAATGAAAATGAAAAACTTATCAAAAATTTTAACTAAAAACCTTCAAATCTGAAATGCACGAGTTTGTTCGATTTTTTGCATTTTTCACCAGAAAAAAAACACTCACAATTTGGTTTGTTTATTTCATTTGAATTTCATTGTTGTTGTTATCTTTTTTTTCGGTTGTTGTTGGTTTTGTGTTATATGAACGTACGTAGATTTATAAACAAAATAATCAGTAGAGAGATCTGCAGTTGTCATATATCAAATAAAATATTTTTTCCAAAATGTGGATGGATGGATGGATTTCTAAATGTATAGTATTGTGCGATATACGCCGCTGAGATAAATCTTCCTGATGCGAATGCACAAAAATATTGCAAAAAATTGTGATGCATGCAACACGCTGTAGCAATTCATTATTGCAGAGAACTTAGGTAAGTTATGGAAAAAAAATTTTTTATTTATTTTTTTATAAACCTTTCCATCTCAGTTTGAATAATTTTAAACTACAAATAAAAATTAGTAAATATTATATATGACAGAATTTTTGATTCACATAGTTTCATGGTAGGTTTATTAATCTGGCTAAATAACTTAAGTGTTATAAATTAAACTCACAGAGTTGAGATTGCTGGTGGGATATTTAACGGGTCACCATGTTAAGGTGATAACTTAACAAAATGGATCTATCAGAAGAGATAGCTTGTCGACTCCTCCGACAAGACTTCCAGTCACATTCTCTGTGACTACCCATACTTGATCTGGGCCACGAGAAGGTCGCTGGGTCGAGAATTACTCCTTCTGCCATTAGGAAGTCAAAGATGTCGGCCTGTTCGGTTAGGGTATGTTAAAGCACTGACTCTATTACCTTAACTCTTTTGAATTAAAACTAAAATATCACTTATGGAAGATTTCCGAATGAAATCAGAAGTATTTGGTCCATTATACGTAAACTGGTATATTGGAAAGACGTGCAGTCTCAATTGTCTAAATCGATGATCCTTAATGTTAATAATTGACCGTAACAGAGCAGAAAACTATCAATTATGGAAAGTATCACCTTAGCCCATTCCGCACTATCACGACGACTATCACGTCGTTAACGTGATAGTGCAAAATTTTCTTAAAATGTTCACTCTTACCAAAAGATTTGCTACATACGGTTTTAGAGCGTCTTCTAAAATTTGTTCATACGAGGCATTTACATTTATTTTGATGTCACAATTCAGTAACACTAACAAAAGCCATTGCAAACGCCAGTATTTAGTAACCATGTTTGATAATTATTTATATGTTAAATTTTTCGTAAAGTCCACCCTGCTAATTTTTCACTATTTTGATAATGACTAAAATGTGCTTCTTAATTTTATATATCAAATATAACTTAATATGAAATTTTAGATATTGATAATAAATAATTAATAGGATATGTATTAACTTAAGACTAAATATTTAATTTTTTAAATAATTCTGATTAATATATTTCTGTATTCCTTCATGCGATTAAAATTTTGTAAAATATTCTCCCTAATGAATATGAATTGTTAATAATTCCTTATTAATTTCAATGACTAGATAGCCTGAGAGCTACGTATGTGCACTTTAAATATAATAAGAGAGTAATTTTTTTTAGTATTTAATGCAATACAATTAAAAGTACCACTTTAATATTTGTAGCCCTTAATCTGCAGAAAAACTGCTTTTTTGTTTTTAATTAAAAATACATTCTTCCCGCATTTGCTCTAATTCTTATATAAAGCGCTTAATTGTGAAATTGACATAATTTCATATATTTTGCAGTTAAGTGGAAAAAATCTAAATGAAGAGACATTCTCGAAAATACATACCATATAGTTTGAAATTTTATGCACTGCTGTTTTATGCGCTAAAAAATTTCATATACACTTTTGCACCCTCTAATAATCCACTCAAGAATTGGCAATAAAAATGCAAAATACCTCAAGTGACGTTATTTCAATAGAATTTTCTTTGCATAAATAAATACGAAATGATTTGGGTGTAGAGCACTGCGTCACCTCAGTCTTCAGCCTTTCCCGAGTAAATTACAAGACTAGCAGGCGTTGCAGCTAATCACATATTTCGCACTGATGACAGCAGGTAAAGCTGTGAAGAAAATTTTGCAAAGACCCTTAAGTGGTGTTATGTATATACACTATAGTAATTTAAATAAATACTTGCATTGGTTCACTACTCAGGTTATGTAGGTATACTCGATTTGTTTGAAGAGTCAACTGATGATTATGACTTTAATATGAATAATACTGCAAAAATTTAGTTTAGTTAGCTGAAATACGGATATATATTCTGGAGACAATATTTGTTTCTATTTTTTTTTCAGATGTTAGTTTAATACAATAATAAGTTTTTTTCTTTTCTTTGTTAAGGAATCTAAGACAATTGCATAATTAAAGAAATGTAAAATATTGGATAGATGGGGAAGTTCGGGATGTATGTGCATGGTATAAAAGTTTATTATAGGAAAGCAATATACTTGAGCTTCACAGGAATTGTTTCTGTAATAATAAGAAATTTTTTCTAAAAATATCTACAAAAGTTTTATAAAGAATTTTGTGAAAAATCATGTGGTTTTGAAACATTTGCGAAAATTTAATATAAATGTTTTCTAAATAGAAATATGGATAACATCTGCTTCATTGATGACTTCTCGTCGTATACATATTTTCAAGACTATTTTAAATAGTATCTCTTATTGATTAAAGTAAACTAATTACACAGTCTATATAGTACAAAAAGTTACGATGTTTGCAGTATTACGCTCCACTGGGAGACATTTTTTTTGTTAACTATATATTTAAATAGTAGTTTGAGGTACCGATGCAATAGACAATGGTAAATTTTATATTTATTTTATACTAAAATTTACATACTTAGTAAAATATGAGATCTGATTATATGGCTTCTACAACAACGCTGCTTTACGTCATAAATTTGTTTATAACAAAAAGTTTTGTTATTTCGATAGTTCTAGAGCATATTATATCTTTGGCAACATTACTGATGTTATTTACTGAGCTTTCTTCTAGCACACATTAATTCAAACACCTTACTAGTCGACACAGTTGAATTATCTTAAATTAAATAATATCAATGTTAGGTATAGCTCATCCAAATCAATATACCATCCTAATCGGTACTCATTACGAATAAGTGAGAAATCATTATTCTCGAATGTAGGAAAACATTTCCGTTTAAATGCTTTTAATACTTTCCCGTTTTTGCTGATAATTATCATTGTCTCTTAATTTCTGAAAAATTGAATATTTCATTCGAATCCTTCGTTATGCCCTAAAACAGTTTTTGTAAATGGAAACACAGTACTGTACTTTGCATGCGAACATTTTTCAACAACATATCAATAGTGTAAGTTCTTCAGTCACTATAATCGCTTGTCTTTTAAATAACTTTTTCATCAACTACTACTTAGTTGTAAGTAAGTTGTACACTTACTTAAAACAAGCTCTATCGCCCGAGTGTATGCAATAAAATTTTAACTTAATCACATTAGTTGATGTGATGTGATTTCGCTGAAAGGCAGCAATTCAATTTAGCTAAAGAAAAACTGTAGAAAAAAGCACAAATTTGCATTCTTAACGTTTTGGTTTCAGGGGGGGAAGAATTATACATACTTACAGATATATTTTTCATGTACGAGTTCATGACTTTGTCTGCAGATATAATTTTATATACTCGTGCATAACTAACAAAACATTTTTTTCAGCACTACTCTTACTTTTTATATGTATATTTTTTGCGCTGCTGTGTTGTGGCAACTATAAATTAAGCCACAAAATTTGTATTTCAATATTTATTTTTTTAGTTATTTTAATTTTTTCCGGTTTGTATGTGCCAGTACGCCTTGGCATTCGCTTGTTATGTTCACAAAGTTTTGCCAAGCTTTTTGCTCTGCATACGAAACTTACTTACTTATTTACTTACGTGCAACCATTACAGACAATTTGCATTTATTTCTTATTTGCTTGAAACAATTTTCTTTAAAATTATACACAAACTTAAGGCGAAACGAAGCGAAATATTAAAAAAGGTCGGGAAAATCAAAATTTAATGTGAAGAAAAATCGATTTAAAAATAATTTTCCTCGTGCTTATGTAGTTTAGGCTGAGAACTGAGAACTTGGCTTACTGTTTTCACTGCAATTGCTACTTCATTTTGTACTCCTTTGCTTGTTGGCTTGTTTTCTTGCCTTGGGCAAGTAACAATTTTTAAGGATATATTGTTTATTTTTATTCACATTTTTTTTTACTAATATTATTCGTGTTTTTTGTTATTTAATGCAGCTTGTGTCATAATGTCACCACATATACGCATGCAAAAAACAACAGACCCACACACTCGCTTCCATGGTACAAGAAATACCTGTACACTCATGACGTACACCGTAAACCATACATCGTACATGGTACACCGTATGCCGTACGCCGTGCATCGTTCTCTGTACATCGTACATCGTACATTGTACAGTGTAAAGTGTACACTGTATAGTGTATAGTGTACACTGCACACAAAAGAGTTATTATTTCGTTACGTTATTTCATATCCTTACGTTTGCATATTACTTACGCTGAAAATGTATCTCAAGAGTAAAAATGAAATCACGGTACCTTACGTCTGCTTTTTTATGTATATTTTTTTTGTTATATTTTTTTCTTGGTGGCGTATTTATTTTAAGCTTGCTGAAATCATTGTCGTTGTTAACCCTGTCAACTATTGTCGTCTCAAGTTTGCCAGCAAGTCATGTCATGTCAACAAATCCAATACACAAAGGACGCATGTCGTTCTTAAGCAAAACATTTTTTAAATTTGTTTTATTGTATTTCAAAGATACTTGTTTCGTAAGTTCAAACCATATCTTCATACTTTCACGTAAAAGTATTTAGATTTCAGTTATATATTTTGAATGTTATAGGAAATATAATTTTATGAATATTTATAGTTTAAAAATATTTTTAAATATTAATGTCGAACTATTTTATTATCGACATGAGATATTTTTATGTGATTAAATTGAGAGTAATATTTTGTTTTGCAAAATTGTATAAATCGTTCTGCAAATGAATATTTCAGATTGTGAAGATGTGGAATTAGAATCTATCAAATTATTTTTATGTTACCCTAGTCAATAAGTTTTTGAGTTATGTTATTATAACTTACTAAAAATGTTGATAAAACTTTTGAAAATATAATTTGCTCTTATTATGTGTACATAATATATAAAATAACGCGTTGAAGTATTAAATTAATAATTTCAAACCTCTTCAATGTAAAGTATATCTTGAGAGTCTATTTGTGTGTTAAGTGCCTTCTCTGCTTCGAACGGTGGCTAACATAATTGCTATATTTGTTTTATATACATTTATCTAACCGATGTCGTAGATTATTAAGCCACAATATCCTTTCTTTAGTAAACTCACATATTCTTTCACAATACTCACAATTCTACCTTCAATGATAAACTTAAGTAGACCGTATTTTTTACTGCATTTATATGTATCTGATCAAAATATTCCGGTTTAAGTCATTGTACTGTTAACAAAATTTCTCTTTTATTATTAACGTGCAAAAGTATTACAAACTTATGACATATTCGGTCCAACGGATGTTTTCGATACTGATTTTAAAATACTTTTACAACTATAAATAGCTTTGTCTTTAATACAACAGTTTTGTTTCTTTCACTAAGTTTAACAATACTGAATCTGACTTCTTTTGACAACTATTTGCTCTTATAAATCACTGACGTCTTCTTCCATTACTGCCACTGTCAGTAGAGGTCGAAATCTAATACCTCCATTGCTTAGTTACAAATGATTATATTTTAATATAATTTCGTATAATTTCCTATGATTTTCTATTATACTGTTTTTTGGGATTAATCGAAAGTGATATTATGAAACGAGAGTCTTCACCTCTTAAAGCATTAACTGATTACTGTTAAGATGATAAGTAAGGAGGATATCAGACTATTATTATTCATATTATTATTATTCAGACTACTATTAGACTATTATATGTTATTAATATATAATAGTCATATGCAAAGAGCATTTACGAATTAATTCAATTAAGTTTGAATCATTTGCCAATTTTTGTTAACCACAAATGAAAAATTCATCAACTACTTTCCTTTCGTAAACTCGTTAGCATATCGTAAACTGTAGCTTAAGCACTACAAATCTCGTTTCTTATTTTTGTTTTATGAACGATAAAAGTTCTTGAAAGCGTGTCTTTAATAAATATATTTCTTTTACATCACATTCTACAAAATATATCTTCATTAATAGTAATTTCTGGTTGCTCTTTAAGAGTTTTACATAGTTTTCTTTTAAAATTTACAATATGTTGTTTAAAAAATATGGTATTAATGAATGCTTGAACCCATTCTCTTAGTGAGCGATTTCTGGATGGCAGATTATTTTTAAGACAGTAAATCGAGTTTTTTTTACCATTAGAGATTCATTGTACAGTTTGCTTCGTGGGGTTTATTTACTTTTACTTTATTCAAATAAAAAGGAAGTTGTGATGGTTGAATCCGAAAGTGAAGTGATTCAAAATTATATTTATCCTATGAATTCTGTGGTCTGTGATTATCATCCCTTATCATCCACAATTTCAAACACTTTCATTGGGGAAACTTTAGATCAGAAGGGTGACCCAGAAAGTAAACGTGCCGATTTGTTTTTTGCTATAACCGTATGAAATCACATTTTATATTAAAAACCTTAGTATATAGAGATTTTTATTTTAATTTTTATTTATAGAAATAACATTTGTTAGTATAACTCATAATTTTTTTAATAACTCTTAACAAAATAGAAGATTTTTTATAATTTGAAATTTGTTATTCAAATGTTATTAAAAATAATAACAATTAAAATTTTGTTTTTGAATACAATCAGGTGATCTACTTTGTATATATGTTTTTTATTGCAATATCCAAAAAGCGATCCACATAACATTCACTTAATTGTATGTTTTCTTTTAAATAAATGAATCCTCCTGGTTTTTCCATGATTGCCTTCAATTGCTTTACAGTGTGCTTATGGTATTCTGTGTTATCAGCATTCGCCATAAACCAACATGCATTCAACATTCTAATGGACTTTGCTACTTCAATACTTTCCAACCTCATTTTGAGTATAGTTCGATATCGGACATTAAATTGTACGCTTTTTCGAAATGTGAAAATTGCAATCATGAAAACAATAACGCCAAGTAAAATCATTTCAGTTAGAAAATCATTACGCATCACATCAATGTATTTTACTATAGCAATTACCTCAGTATTCGGACTTACGCATTCATACGTTAGATAAATCCCCATACAAGTTAAGAAAATTATCCACGAGGCTCTGCTTCTCAATATCATGTTCTTGAACAAATCAAGAATTAAAGTATGCAGAAAGGCAGAGAAATGTGAAACCAGAAGAGAAACTAAAATTTAAAAAGAAAACATATTTTAAATATAATGTGTATTATATACTTTTAATATTTGTAATCTAAAAATCAGATATTTGTTCAGGAACTATAGATATAGATAAGCTTACCGTACGTTGGGATATCCATTATAAAGCAAATATTCCGATTTACTAAAATTGAAGTTATGATTTCTATACATTAACAAAAAAAATAGTGATATAACAGTATATAATATGGATGATTTAATATACGCTTACAATTTCAATAATTTATTGCAATTATTTCAGTTGATATTCCTTCTATTCTTTTTGGATCTAGTTTTATGAGTTTTGCTGACAGAGAGCCTATAAAGTCAGGATAAAAGAGCTGATAAAACTGATTTTACAGTTGTAATTTTGTTTTTGATGTCCAATATCTAAAGTATAGATAGTAGATTTTACAATTAAAATTTAAGAATCCATATTGAATAGAAAGTGGTGAGGTCAAACAAATTTCGTTTTAAATTTATAAAAATTTTACTTAATTATTGTTATAAACTTTTGACGAAAAAGTCACTAATTTTTGAATTTTATCTACTTCTATAACAACTGACATAAACGACTAAAAAGACTTCTACAGTTACAACAATAACTGACATTTATAACAGTGAGCTCCGAAGTAATAAATATTTTCTACAAGTGCTTAAAATCCTTAAAAAAATTTCAAATACCGGTCCAAAATACATACCCATTGTATAGATATCGGAATAACTTATCTGTTCTCAACAATTTACGATATGGATGGCTTCGAAAAGGATTTAAAAACCCATTTAAATAACAAGCAAAATATCTTATAGTAAGTATAGGAAGATCTATATAAGTTATAATACTACTATTTGTTCAAAAATTTCTAGGTACAAAGACAGCAAGCTGAAACAAACTCACGGTTTTTACTCGACAAAGACTTCAGCAACGGTTACTACCGCTTCCGTTATCTAATTTTTTGGCTATAAGCCCCACTTTCCAACTCTAAAATTACAATTTATATGCAATAGGAAACATCATTAATAGGATAATGCTTACCAATAGATTAAAGTTCTAGATAAATTATTGCTTGAATAATATTAACTAAAATATTTGGAATATTTTGTCAGATTGTTATGTTCAAATAAATTTGACAAATTTTGTCATTGTAATATTGATCAATACTGAACCTATATAGGATTGTTATTCTTATCCAAATTTATGCGATCATTGTATTTTAAAATAATTTAGTAAAAATTCAAAATAATACTTACTAAAGTAATTAAGTCATACGTTGAAATTGTCATTCTGTATATAACTCTATTGCCCTACGAATTTAAAATCATGTCTCTTGCCAAAGCAAACCGATTTAGTACAAACCTCCTAAAGAGTTAGTGGTCAACTCAACTCAAATGTGTGTATTAAAAAAACAAAAAGTGAGTGTTAATAAAATCAAAGAAAAAGAGAGAGAGAAAAAAAAAATTAAATGAAGAGAATAAATTCAAAAATAAATATTGATTGTACTAATTAACAGCACTGAAAAGAAAATGTTTTGAGATTTTATAAAAAAATTCCCTGGAAAATGTCAACATAAAAATTATCAACACTACAAATAAAAAAACTGATAAGTTTGGAATGTGTCTCCCATTACATTACTTGCTTCATTAGTGATAGTGCTTGTTTCAGTAAATACTATTTCTTTTTCACTCTGTCATTTAGGTATCCAATACGTTGTTACCAAGAATTTTTTTTGTAGAAACTATTAACAAAACGGAGATGGACAATCAGTCAGACATTTATATAAATCTTGTGTTACTATATTTTAAGGACTTTTGTCATTTTTCAATGTTGAATTGGTAAAGGTATTGTATTGTGTTAACTTCTACGGTCGATCACTCTACCAATTTACCGACTGAGCTACCTTTCTCCTATCACTTATTTACAAATTTGCCTCAGATATAATTATCATCTAAATACTAAACCTTTTCTATTCTTATGTTTGCATTTCCCTTGAAAACTGAAATGAAATTTCAGCTTTTGACTTGAACTGGTCAATAAGTGGCATTTGTCCATTTTGTATTTCTGAGAGGTGGTCTTAGTAGGTTCCACTCTCAGATCGTGGTTTTCAGAGTATTTTAATCTTTACTAATAATCGACATTGAAGTTTCTCTCTCTCTCTTTCTCTCAGCAAACAACATTTTACAAAAAGATAATGACAACTGTACTTAAGCCATATTTTTGACATTATTACTTAACACAGAAAATAGTGTAGACATTTATAATTAATTATCAATATCAAACAGTACGTTTACACTATAGTAATTATTCCGTAAAGTGCAGCAATACTGTGTTTAATATCTTATAATCTAATTGCCATTCAAACAATATTCTATAAAGAATATTTTATTGGTTATTTGATCATTTTTAATTTACTTACACAAGGATCTTAAAATCAAAAATAAAAAGTGCAATTTCACATAAAATTTTATAAAGCCATACAGTGTTATTAAAAATACTTAAACATAATATTTTTTTTTTTCTAAAAATTGTAATTTATTTTAATTTCATATATGAATGGCAATTTTAATTCGAAAAAGAAATAAATTTTTTAATTTGGGAAAATCATATTAATTTTAATCTTATTATAGGGCGATGTTTGTTAAGTCTGTCTGAGATTTTTCGTCATTATGAGAATGAACATTGAAACGTGTTTGAGTGTTCGGTTGTCATGTATCTACAAATAAAACACCTTCACCCAAATACAAACAAGAGTACACATTTAAATCCCCTTTTCGCGGCTGCATTAATGCTCATATAAACACTGTAAAAAAAATTCGTTAATGTAATTGCAAGCCTAAGGCGTTAACGTTCGTTACGTGACGGAGAAAATGAAAATTCAACATTAAATCGAACTTACATTGAAATTTCTTTTAAAACCTAAAACAAATAATAAAAAAAATTTAGATATTTATGGTGGGTTGTTTAGACTGTGGCAACGTTTATGCAGATATAGATATTTTTGTAATAGGTGTGTAAATGTTGTCAAAATCTACATATAAGAATTTGATAAAGTCATATTAAGATTAGAACAGAACAGGAGGAATATAATTATAATTCTATTTTCTGGAATATTTTTTTAGAATTTGTGTAATAAATCATTTATTAATAATAATCTTGCTATAAAGCAATTACAGATAGCACAAAATCTGGCTTTAAGAAGACTAATTAAGATTCCTTGGTATATTAGAACAACAGACATGCATAGAGATCTAAGAATCGACTCAGTGAAAAAGTATATCAAGGACAGAGCCCTAAAATTTTTCACAAAAGTTGATACGTTGCCCAACCCCGCTCTAACAAACCTCAAGTCCACTTCAGGACGCACAGGAAGATATGCTGATCTACGGTTCGTCATCAGTTAGAAAATAAATAAATGATAATGATTCTAGTATAGTTAAAGTTTAGTATGGGGCAGCCCCCCAGCTACAGTAGAGTAAAAGTGAGCAATAGCACTAACTCATCTTACAACAACAACAACAACAATATCATTATTAAAATTTTGTGAAAAATATTTTAACTTATGGCGAATCATTATAGATTTAAAAGAAATATTTGTATATAAATATTAAAATAGAATATAACTTTTAAGATTTGTTGTAGTAAGTAACTACAACATATTCTAATGTTCAATATAAGCTTTAATAATATAGTTTAATTTTTGTTTATAAAAAATTACACTTTACTTACTTACTTATATTTATCCAAAGCAATCAGTTGTACAGTGTCATTCCGTACTCTTCCCCAGATGTCTTTGCGAACCTTTAATAGTCTCGTGAGACAAGCACCATTAGTACCTCCTCAACTTCATCACTTCACTGTAGACACTATTTGCCTCTATGTCTTTTTCTTCCAATTACCGGTTAGAATACATTTTGTGCTAAAGTATTGTCATCTATGTTTACATTAAGAAAAAGCTATTGAAGCTACTGGATTTTAATTTAATGAATGATATTAAAGTCGTAGTTAGGCTCGCAGTGCTCTCGGTCCATTTGGATGAGGTAGTCGTAACCAAATAGTTGGGAATTATAGTTCTTAGGAAGTATCGTTCCAGTGCGTTTTTAATATCTCTTTTTGTGTTAGAGTTCTGACTCTGATTAAGTTGCACAAATTTGTAGTTACAAATAAATGCTTTGCAACTGACAGAGCTTAGTTACTTTTCTAAAAATTTTGTTCAGTTCATTTAATATCTCTTCAACTTAAGTTCATAGATACAATTTGCAACTGTAGCGCTAAAATGAAAATAAAAACGCAACTTTTTGCACTTGTTGGATGCTGTGTAAATGGAGAAATTTCTTTATATATCAATTATTTGTGGTTGGAAAAAAGTAACCATGTTTGCATATAAAATTACAATTTTCAATAGACGTTCAAACATACATAGACACATATAAGGAAAAAGAACTGCGTACATTTTATTATTAAATGAGTATGTGTAATTGCAAATACGTATAAATACGAGTATATATCTTTATGTGTTTATGTATCTAACTGAAATTGAAGAATAACAAATGTTCTAATGTTTAGGTAAGCAGATGAATACAATTTCCACTTGATTCCGTCATTCCACTTACCGCAATTCAAACTTCTTGTTTATATAACGTATTTAATTTATTTTTAATTTAAATATCCTTTTGTTTTCATTTCATTTGTGGTATATGAAAGTACACAAATGTGATGTCTGCCTACAAGTAGTATAACGCTTTATTTCAACCTCTCTATCTTTAATGTATCTGAATACGAGTATTTGTGTTGAAAAGTTTTTCCTTAAGTCAACTTTTCACTTTAACTGTTTTTACAGAATAACTTTTAACTTTGCGCTTTTGTCACTTTTCACAATTTTTGTTAAATATTCTTTATATTGTTTTTTTTTTTTTACGAGTATATTTCTCAATATACTCGTACCTGCACTCAAACTCATATGTTGAGATACATTTGTCACAAGTTTGTTAGCAGTGTGTGTGTGTGTGTGTGTGGGTTTCTATGAAGTCGTATTTTACTTTTACATTGACATCTCTAAATAAATATTGACAATTTGCACCGATGTCACACAGTCACTCAGCCAGCCAGTCAGTCAGTCACAATATGTTTAGTGTAGAAGTGTTTCAGCTTATGGAAGTTTGCGGGTTTCAGCATGTGGTGGAAGTATCTGTGTGTTTAGCAAGCTGCATACTCGTATGTTTGCTTACACCTCAGTGCAGTATAATTTGCACTATACAGTGTTATTTTTCTATTTGTTAGTCATGATTCTACTTTCCGTTTCCGTCAAACGGTTCCTTTGCCAGAACTTGTTTGCATTGCAAATGTTCTCACACTTAGTGAATTCTCACAAACTTATAAATTCTTAAATTTTATGTCTTCAATGAAAATTTGTGGATAAATCATGAAAAAAATCTTGAAGTGTTGCCAACTGTAAAATATTGAAATAAAAAGAAAATATATCAATGCTAGAGTATATATATTAAAATCTTAATAATTATGGAGTAGTGTCGTATGCCTGTTCAATATTCATCTACATTATTTAAGAGTAACTTGTACTTCATTTCCATAATATGAACCTCTTTTATTTATTATATATTTCCCATTTAAATATTTACTCTTCATTTAAATTTTTATTTTATTATTTTTCTCATATATTTGCAGTATCTTCTACTACAAGCAAGCAAACAGCTATTTTTACAAGCTATTGGCAACTCTATTCCATTTGGGCTTTGAAGATTTGACACCTTGGAGATGCAAATATCTGTGAAATGCACTTTGGAATTGCAAAAACTAAAAGGCCTTTGTAACTAAATAAGAACAAATAAAAAGTATAGCTAGAAAATTGTAGTTCTACAAGTCAATGGGGAGTGATTTCAACTAAAGTAATGTCGAGTTGGAAAAGTAACTTTCATTAGAAAAGTTTACAACGAAAGTTTGGTATAGAAGTGGGTAAGTGGAAATTTTTTATTATATATTTATATTTATAAATTTCTTTTTTATCTACTTTTATCATTTTATATTGTCTCAAAAAGATATATTCATAACCAGTAAAATATTTGAAATCGAAAGAAATGAAAATTTGTTAAAATTATTTATTATAAATATTTAATTAAAATTTATTTCATAAATAAAAAAAAAGATTGTCATAGTTGCGATATGTTATTATAAGTATGAGTATCGACACGAACACATATAAATTTTTTAAACAGTGCAGATGTCTTAATTAAGAGGTTAATGGCAAGGTTAAATTAAGATATTTGGAAAATGTCTACGCTGCTGTATGTGAAGCATATCGTATATGTTTCTCTTGTGTAAGAATTATTTCAATGTTTACTACATCAATTCTTAAAATGTTCCATTGTATTGCCAGTCTCATTAATATCTTTTGTTTTTGAAAAAAATATCACTTTTTTCTTTCATTTCATCTCAATTCTTATCTTAAAATTACTTCTTATGGCGTTCCATTCAAAATTCGTGTCTTTTGACGATATTCCAGATATATATATTAAATTGCCATATTTGTATTTTTAGACTTTAATTTAACCTTTGTATATAAGAGTTTCTATTTTATGAATAATCAGTTAAGAAGTATTAAGAAGAGAAGATTCTATTCTATTTAAGAAGAATAAGTTAGGAAGGATTTACTTAATTGAGCTACGTCAGCTAACTGACTTATCAATAGTTAATCCAAAAAGTAATACAAATCGTATGAGTTGAGGTTAAATTTTAATATCTTGGAGGTAGCGTTCTTAATTTTAATTAAAACCAGGGACATAGAAAGGCATTTTGGAAAAAAATCTTTTTGCTAAAACTTACCATTTTGGATTTAAATTGATGATTTTCGTAGTGATAATGGATTTAAATTTTTGAAAAATTTAGATAATTTAGTATATGTGAAAAATATAATTTTTTTCAAATGGCGCTTAAAATGTTGTACTAAAAAAGTTATTTTGCACTATAAATGATTTTAATAAAATAAAATTTACAAAAAATAAAATATAACATTTTAATACTTAACTGATGAAGTAAAAAAATATTGTATTTATACTTCTCATTTAGTTTAATTATTTATTCCCATGCTTACTGGCATAGATGAAATTAGTTTTGCCTTGATTACTGGAATGGGATTGTATTCGCTGCACGTGACAAATCTTCCATACTCATTCCTAAGACGTGGTTTTAGTGGGTTCAAGTCCCCAGTCAAACATTCAATTAATCAATCTTAATTGATATCAATCTCATTTGATATAAAAGTCTGATTTTTCTAAAAATCCACTTTAAGTTGTATCATTCACAATAGTACAGAGTATAAGAATTCTTGTGATATAGTATATTTAAAGCTCCCCAATTTTTACTAGTTAAAGTAATTAGAAATTCATAACAATCAAACAAGTAATTAAAAATTTGATACAAAATCGCAATAAAATCCAGCTTAATAATCCTCTTTTAAGTTGATTTAATAAACCCTACACTTGTACTTTACATAAGAAAAAGATAGTAAAAAATGTTTTTATTAAATCAGAAGTTAAAAGCAATATAAAAAATGTCATTTTTAGATATCAACCGAAGCACACTTTGTCATCGTTATACTATACTATTTTTTTAACGAAGACAAGCGTTGTTTTCCGGTCAGTAACTGTTATTACTGAAGCTATTACATTCTGCTTATATTTTTGTTTTGTGATTCTTATTTTTCAATTTTAATTTTTATAACTCGCAAGTGACAGTTACTAGCTGACATCCAACGACGACGTAGATACTTTTCAAGCGCTCGTATGCTCATTTGCAATTCTTTGTATAGATACACATATGCACACCCAGAAGACTACAATACAGAACATCTACTTAAGCATATACTATATACCAAATGGGTACATATATGGGTGTGTATAGCTTTTTTATCAATTGATTGTACTTAAGTCTTTCTTTTGTTATACTTATACTTACTTATGTAGAAATTTTTTTTCTATAAATGTACACATATTGCACACACCAATTGGGGACTTTGCAGTACATCATCATATTTAAGCTCTTTAAAGAGGTTTTGAAATGAAGAAAAAGAAAAACTGTGCGATAAATTTGAATGTGCACTTAATTCAACTTTGGATATGCTCGTTATTATCATTATCATATCACATCATTTGATATAATGCCGTATCCGTATCACATCGCTTCGTATCGCATCGCATAAGAATACACGTTACAGAGTTTTATTTTTAGAAAGTTTGCTTTTGAGCTGCAAATTGTTTTATTATTCATTTTTCAGTCATTAGTTGTCGTAAAATATTCCATTTGTCACTGCTTCTATGCTTCTACTCATTGTTGGTTCGGATTTTGTTGACATAGATACTCTTGTTTCAGATGACAACTTTTTTGGGAAATACATATATATATAATCTGCATAAAGTTAGTTTAAATTGACGTGAAATGCTTTTATTTAGTTGAGTTAAATTTGCTTTAACTAACAAAATTGTGAAATAACGACAGCGTTTAGCGAAGTTAAAAGTAAATATGTTAGATATTTTATTTTAATTGAATTTTAAATGTTTTATTTTGATTTAAGAAGTGAGATACGTCGTTTATATTTATACGTAGTTAAGTAAATTATTTAAATAGTAGATAGTATGATACCTTTTTAATTTGCCATCAACAGTAATGACAGTTGAAAGTTACGCTAATGATGGATTTAATTACTAAAATTATTATTTAAATATAACTATATAAATAAATATATTTTAAATAGTTTATAGACCAAATAGAAACAAAGCCAAATGGATATGAAGAGTTAAAGTTCACCCGAAACAGGCCACAGGATTTTATTTATATATATGCATATTCATCAGTAATACATTATATATATTTATTAAGCTAAACATTTCGTTTTTATATTATAAAATGAATTAAATATCAGCTTTCTGAGAACACTTTTCAAAGTACCATGTTACATTAGGACGAATGACATTCTCAGAGACCTCACCATTGATCCCAACAAAAAATACACAAAGGATAGAGCCCTGAAATTATTTGTGAAAACTGACAGACTTATCAACACCGCATTATCAAATGTCGAAATGGTTACAGGCTCCTCGAGGAGGTAAGCCGATCTCAAAAAAAAAATCACATTTTTAAAATATCTATTCTACCATTGAAAGTGGTTGCAATATAGTTTTAAACGAAACTAATAAGCAATAAACAATTACCATATCGTTTTTCGTACTATAAAATTATATCCAACAATTTTTAAGTTTCTGACATAAATGATTAGAGCTAAATGAAGTTGCAATTTGCTCCAAAGTAAGGGTAACCAGTAGTCTTACGAGCTCATTCACTTGCAATTAGAATTCTCATAGTATCCTCCCTAATAAAATAGAGTCGAAGCAATTGCCAAGTTATTGAACGGGTCACCATAGTCTGCGTTACCATCACAACGTAATGGGATTGTCTTTAAAGACATTATGTTGGTTATATATAGAAGCAGATGAGATCTGCAGTTACATATCTTTTGATTGTATGATTTTTATCGGATCGAAAGGAAAATACTAGGCTAAGAGCAGCTATCTCTGTTCGATGTTAAGAAAAGCTCAACGGGAACAGTTTAACCTTCTTTGATGACAAAGTCTTCTGCTTTGTAGGAATAGGTTTCTAGTACAAAACATCAATCAGACTGCTTTGTGCTACTTGGAGATCTCATTGAAATAAATATTTAATGACTGTATAACAATAATTGTAACTTTTTAATTTAAAATAAATCTTTTGTGATTGCTTTGTTATTTATAACATTTTATAAGGTAGAAAAATGCAATTGTGTTATTTTATATGTTATCAATGGTGCAGTAATGCAGTCGACAAATCTGAAGTAACATTCAGATTCAGATTTTCATACTTCCTATTTCAGACTGTCATATCTTTCTTCTATATTAATGTAAAAAATTAAAACTTCGTATAAGCTAATTAATTGATATTTCTCAAAAGCTTTTATTTGTAATTTTACAGAAAATTTTGTAAAATTAAAATACTAATTTCCTATGCCACAAAATATCTCTTTGATTTTATTAAATTCACAGTACTTAAAATATAAATTGATTCCTTTATTATCATGAAGGCTCTTTTCATTGAAAATCAACAAATAAAATTTTTATTATTCTCATGCACACAAGATTTGCTTTATACATTTTAAATTTGATTATTTCAATTCATTTTCATTCACATCCAATTTAATTACTGAATATCATTTTCATCTGCTGGCACTTATTTTCCCTTTCATACAATTTTCACATAATAAATATAATTTAATGAAAATGGTAAAGAATTTCACAATCCATGAAATATGGGCGACCTTGTCAACCTTCATTCGTAAGATCGATGGATATATGGTATTCAATTATTAAATAAATTCAATAATTTAATTGAATGTATGAACAAACAAACTGAGCAGATCATAAGAGTTCAATTAGTAAAGACAATACCGACAAACGAATTCATTCTGTATGAATGCAATTTATAGATACAAGCATATGAATTTTGTGTGTATGATTTTCTGCTACGAGTTGAAGATACATTTATATGTGTTAAGGCAAGCAAATGTCATTTAATGTAATTACAAAGCAGTTGTTTGACATTTATGAAGTCACAAAATTTGTGTTATTAGCAGAGAATGAATAAATTTTAATTCAAATGTCACAAAATTACAAATACGTATCTAAAAATCTTTGATGTGCTAATTTTCAAAAAAAAAAATATATCATGAAAAGTTACTAAATATATTTCATATAAAATTAAGATCAAACAAAGCATAATTTAATTTTTAATTATTTCAGTCATTACTTTATGAATATAATTTTTATGCATAAACTTTGCTATATTATTGACTTATTTTATATGTTTTATTAAATATTACTATTACTATTAGTGTCGCCTACCGTATTGTATTGTAATGTATAGTATTGTCCAACTCGTTTACTGCACTGTACTGGTGTTCCGTTGGCTCAGATTGTTGCTACGAGTTCACTACGTTGCTCATCAATATCATTTTATCAAATATTTTCGCTTATATTTTATGCTGCAGTATATATTCCAGTACGTTCTTCATTATATTTTTCTTCATAATATTTTTCTTCATTATTATGTTGAAGCTATTTGAGCCAGTGCACTGGCACTCTGAGTACTCTTTCTTAACTCGAGGTATTTTCAAAACCCCTCTTTACGCCTTGACTGGATTATTCGTTTATCACTTCATAACACTAAGAATATATTTTAGTACGTTCTTCATCATTTTTAGTTTTTCTTATATTTTTCTAAATATATCCTACTTCCGTACATTTTCTAGTAAATGATAAATATATTAAAAATAAGCGATAAACACAATTTTATTTTCCTTTTTATTTTTCTTTATAGTTTTCACTACTAAATACTTTCTTATACTATTTCCAAGCGATGTTTTTGAAAAATCAAGTTTAATAAAGTTGTGTATTAATTTAGTTTGCATTTATCTGCTATATTTAAGTGGTACGTAAATGATTGAAATGAATTTCGTATAGTAGATGAATGCCATGTAGATGAAGTCAATGAATTTCATTTAATTTGTTAATAACTCAAAATCCAACAAATCCACAAATATTTCAATATCCATTTTCTTCCATATAAAAAAAAAATTAGAAAATAGAATATTTCACAAATTGCTGAAAAAATATATAAAGTCAAATGTACACACTGTTTGCAGTTTCCAATGGCACTGCATTGGTGACACGATCCAACTAAAATGGCAAAAACACTGCATTTATGTAAATATGGAAATGACCGTACATCTATGAGAATGGTTATAAACCACAGAAGCCATTAAAATGTAATTATAATTACGGTACTATTGTGCTTAAATACTATTGCACACCAACCCAAAGGATCAATGGGTCATGTCACCTGCGTACAATGTGTGCGAAAGTATTTTTGTGTGTAGTACAAGCGAACAATTTTTTCTACATATATATGTGGTATGATAAAAAGGATGAGTATTTTCAGAAACATTCTCTATAGAGTTCAGTTGTAATATTAATACAAAAATAAAAGAACAAAATATAAATGTTACGTTTACTATTAAAACAATGCAGCATTGGTTAAAGGAGTTATAGTTACAAAAAAAAAACAAAACCCAGTAAAACGTAAATTCCGGCACAAACCCATACAGACCCCTATATATAAATCTACGCTTGTTAATGTTCCAACAGAATGGAAGTGATGTATATTATTGTGTGGCTGTGAAGTATGTTTCAGCATATTTGTCGGAATATGAGTTCATTGGTCTAAGTGTATTTCATTTAATAGAAACACAACATAATGGACACCCGTATACTTGCTTCATAAGTCGAGAACATTTTTTTCTCTCTACGCATTCATTTACAAAAGTACTAAGAGTTTATTTGGGCATTATTTTGTTTACTAAATGCATGTACATTAGTTGACATCATTGTTGTTGCATCTGTAAATGAATAGTAAAATTTAAAAGGACTTCAAAAATTCAAGTACAGATTTTTGTCAAGCTGTTAGTTGCAAATAAAAGTCGTTCTGCCTGTTAATCAAAATTCTTGACTCACTTTTACTAAAACATTTCAACTTCAAGTAGGAAATCAAACTCAGTACACCATATATGCAGAAAGGACAATTTGCTTCTGACATAAGATAGTCCTTTATGATATTAGTTGGCTTGATATGCTTTGTAATGAAACATGCATTAGTTGTTATATGCCTGAGATGTGAATGACAAAAAAAAAAAATGAAATTCAAATGGGAATGAATACTAAAAATGCATAAAAGTCTATTAGAAACTGAATTTAATCGAGATCTTTAAAGAAGTTTAACTGCTTTAAATAAAGTAGTTTAAGTTAATATGTTAAGTTGAAAAATATGCGTAAGAACTTTTTTGATATGGCTATAATTATTAATCACGAAATTTTTATTTTTCGAATAGAAAAGTTTGGTACTAATGAGAAAATTTTAAAATTCAAAAGAAATTTTAAATCCTGTAAGTACTTGAGCTCTTTTGAATATTGCAATTCTTGATATTTTTTACATTAAAAAATAATTGTGCGGGCTATAATAAGTATGACGATGAGGTAAACCTCATGAGGTCAAAAATTATGACACACACATCGAGGTGTCAAACGAAACTCCACAGAAAAAAAAAATACAGTTAAAACACCTTTCATAACTTATTGAAAATACGAGTATCTTGCAGATATTATGGATTTTTCAGTATACATGTTTTTATGAGTGGAGTTCCTTTGCCGACAAAAAGTTATTATTATCTTTCTCCATATAAGGTTTTTGGACTTATTTTTCTTAAAGTTGTGTTTGATTTGTGTGACAGAGCATTGTATTAAATATCGGTAATGTACGTTTCACCTCATACCTTGTCTTAATTACAGCGGTTTTATATGAAATACTTTCCATCAAATATTTCTAAACATATATATGATCGTGTCATATACATAGTGAAATGTAAGAATTTAGAAAAACATGTATATATGGTATCTTAAAATTGGTTTGAAGAACTTTTTTCAACTATCTTAACCTATAGGTATAAAGTTTTCACTTCATTCTGTATGATTTTTTTACGTTTCTTGGAAGTAGAAGTACCTTGTCGTAATTATAGCGCTTTAATATGAAATACTTTCTATTCTATATAAGCAAACACATATATATATTCGATCAGGTCATATACATAGCGAAATGTAAGAATTTAGAAAAGCATGTATATATTTAAAAATTAGTTTAAAGAACTTTTTTCAACTATCTTAACTTATATAAAGTTTTCATCTCATTCTGTATGATTTTTTTAAATTTCTCGGAAGTAGAAGTACCTTGCCGTAATAATAGCGCGTTGATATAAAGTACTTCTCATATACGCAAACATATATATATCTGATCGTGTCATATACGTGTCAGAAAATCATGTTTCCATTATATATTTTAAAATTAGTTTAAAGACCTTGTTTCAAAGATCTTAACATATATGATCTCATTAATTCATGTGAATATCAAAACTTTGACTGATCTTATCATTAGAGGTTTACGTTCGAAACGAGTACAGTTTTAAAATACTTCTTGTAGATAAAGTCATTGTTGATTTTTTAGATTTTATCAATGCCCAGAGGCTTAGGTATGAATCTAATTAAGGTTTTATATACTTTATGTATTTTATTAGCACTTTGTTTATTTATATTTATTAGCACTTTGTTATTATAATTTCCATTTAAGCTTCTAAAAATATAATTTAATAATAAAAAAATAAAACTAATTTATATTAATTTTATAAATTACAACATTTTTAATATTGCCACCATTTTATTTTTCTGTTGAATTTATTAAGAATTAAAGGATTAAATTTTTTTCACATATAATTAGTTTTAATAACCCAAAATTTTTACAAAATATTTAAAAGTAATAAAATTTATTTAATTTTATATATGAAATTTTTAATAAATTAAAAAAATATATAGTAAAGGTATTAAATAAATTTTTCCTAATTAAATTGGCTTAATATAACTTTTAATTACATTTTCATAATATATTTGATAATTATTTTAATTAATTTCTTTTTTGCGGATTAACGCTGAAAACATTGTATTTATTTATGTTTTTATATCTTTGCAGTCACCAGCTTTCGAAATATGAAAAGTTTTCTTTTATCTGCTGCACAATAATCGGGAGTACGTATTTATGAACATTATTTACGGATGGATATTAGGGAATTTATGTACTTTTCATAAACAGCGCATAAAGTATAAAAACGTAAAAACATAAAAATCAACAAAAGGAGAAGTGCTCACATCAGCGATAAACGCGTAAATTACCCATCAGCAATAAAAATAACATCGGCAACTACAATAACAACAATAACAACAACAATACCACCACCATCATCATATATTTGAGTAGAATCAGCATTTAACAACAACAACAACAAAAACACAACAAATATAGCAATTTTAATAAAACAATTTGTTAAGCCAACAAAAATGAATTAATCAGCAAAAAAAGCCGACAAAAAAAAATTAAAAATAAAAAAAAGATTATTAAAAAAAAGTAAATACAAATAAACATAAAAGAAAAAAGCAAAATTTGTTAAGAAGAGCCAATTTTATGAAAATTACCTGAAAAGTCCATCAACAATAAAAACAACAACAAAAACAATAATAAAAAATTACACTTAAAGCGAAAAAGGTGAACAAAATTCCCTAAAACATGCGAACAAAGCGAAAAAAAAGAAAAAAAACGAAAAAGTTTTAACATCAAAAATGGCAGCGAAGCCAAGCCGCAAAGTGAATCTTCTCTACTTCAGGCGACAGCAGCGAACAAAGTGCGTACGTGGCCTGGCACTGGCACAATCAAAATTTTGTTTGAAAATACATGAGGATGCGTCAGTCTCTCAATTCTGGGCAATCTTGGATTTCAATGAAAAAACATGAATTATTATTATTTTTTTTTAAATATTTACTTTTCACAGCTTAGAAACGATGTTTGTTAAAATTTAATTGGAAAAGTAGAAAATATTATTTGATTTTTTATGTGAGAAGTTCATAGACGCATTTAAGCTAACCAATTTAGTTGGATGACAATAAAACTTTATGTCTATTGGAACATAATTATGCAGGATATAGATTAAATTATATTCAACTGAAACTCACAGCTATTGTATGGCATTGTATAGTGTTTGGTGACAGCAAACATAAGCTGCTCGTGGCATTGCGTCTAGTGTTGAACTACTGAATCCCCCCTATCCACAATTATGAAAGAATTTCTTTCACATTAGCTGGAAAAAACAGACTTAATCTTTTTTAGATCGAAGTTTGGGTACTCTAATTGGGAAATCAATTTTTTGTGGAATATTCTACTCCTTTATTGTAAAAGAGCCGAATCTTTTATAGATCGATGTTTGGATACTCTGATTTGGAAATCAATTCTTTTTGGAATATTATTCTTTTTAATTCTATATGAATAGAAAATTTTCCAATGTTATGTATGGATATTTCTGTGTCTGTTTAATCTTTTCTAGATCGATGCTGTAAAAGAGCGGATAATTTTTCAACAAAAGGTAAGGATATTTCTGTTTTTACTTGATCTTTTCTAGATCGATGTTTGTACACTCTGATTTGGGAATCAATTCTTTGGGAATATTCTTCTTTTTTAGGTTCTTGATTTACAATGATATGTAAACATATTTCTGTATCTGCTTAATCTTTTATAGATTGATGTTTGAAGATTCTGATTTTGGGAATCTGATTTCTCTTTTATTGTATAAGAACATAATATTTTCTAATGACATGTAAGAATGTTTTTGTGTTTGTTTAATCTTTCTAGATCGATATTTGAATACTCTGAGTTAGAAAACAATTTTGTTTGGAATATTCTTTTTCTTTATTGTATAAGACCATAACATTTTCTAATGACATGTAAGGATGTTTCTGTGTTCCTTTAATTTTACTAGATCGATGTTGAAATACTCTGATTTGTGGAATCATCCTCTGTGGAGTATTCTTTTGTTTTATATTGTATAAGAATAAAAAATTTTCTAATCACATTTCAGGATGTTTCTGTGCTTTCCATACATAGTCTGTATTCTTCGGTTGTCGAAAATCCTAACCGCACATTATTCCTATTTAATATGAAGTGACCGGTAATTCAATCATTATTTTTAAATCTGATCTGGTGAGATTTAAGAGATACTTACCCTTCTTCTTTGCGTATTTTGAGCAGTGGAGATTTGTAAACGAACAAATTACCAAAGTCTGCCATAGAGTTTATGTGTTTCAATTTAAATTCACATGTATCTACAAGATACTACACTTTAAAGTATAATGGAGTCATTTTTATTGTCAAATTTCGTTACTTTAGTAAATGATTTATGAAGAGTCGAATTTATTATTCGTATTAAATAAATATTTTGCAAAAAAATAGAATATAAATAAAACACATTTCAATTCTCTCTGTATATTTCTCTTTACAGATAAATCAGTAAATAACAAGCTGGCGAGATATTTATGCAATTGTCCTCTATTTTCCATTCTGCAAATCCATATTCGGAATTCATGAATTTAACCGTAAGCTTAAATATTCATTTCATTTTGTATTTTACTGTGCTGTGCTCTAAAACCGCGGAATTGGTGTGCGTTTTGCATTTACAACGAAAATCACTTTTCTAAGTACTAGTGCCGCAGGAGATAGTTGCATTCGCCGAAATAAACCCCTGCTGCCCAAGTGCTTATCAAAGAGATTTTATTGTCAACATGGTGTGCTTCCATTGGAAACCATTTAACGCGGATTGTGGCTTTGTGAAATCGTGGCAAATACTCCAAATAATTAATGTTTTATTATTATTGTGTATGTGTTAGGAATTCAAACGAAAGTAAAAAGAGTATCAGACAATTTATTATGGTATAGTGATATAAAAAATAAATTAAATTAATTGGTAAGCTAAGAAATATTTATTTTTGTAATAATAATATTGTAGCATAATATTTAATATTGTATGTATATATTCATATTTAAATTTTAGTTACTTAAATGTTACTTTAACAACAGCTCATATAGTCTGAATGCAAGAGCAACTCGAAATTTAAGCGAACAGCTAATTCTTAAACCTCAAATTCCATTCTGTGTGTAAATAATCAAAACGTCAGTAACAATAATAACAACAACTGCAACTGTATCTACAGTACAGTAGGTACATAATACACAATAACGAAGCAATTAGGACTATCCTTGAGAGAAGCGGTTTATCAATATCTGCGAAAATCTAAGCGAAACACTAAACACTACCGCACCTAGAAGAGGTGGAATACTGTTGAATCTGCGCAAAATGGACAAATGTATGCAATTAAACACACAAATACGAGTATCTTAAAGCTTGCAATGCATATGTAAGTATCTCAAATAACACATAAGTACATTTCACTACACGTACATGCAATCATACTTACACTTAACGCGAAATGTTTAACGAAAGGCGTAATCTCAGTACCAGGACAAATATCCTTAGCGTACGAAATGGAATTAATTTCACTTTGTCGATTACTTAATTAGGCAATTTGTATGTGTTGTACCGACGGCGTATACAGCGCATAACAGCAAAAACAGAATGATTATACGCTGCACAACGATAACAACAACAACACCAATAACAAAGTTAAGTATTTGCTTATACCGCAAACCGTGAAGGATATTACGGCAATTCCTTAATATTTACAAGAAATTTAAATAAAACCTTACTTCTGGAGAATAGAACTCCTTATAGTGCAATGACATGGTATGATCATTTACATTTGTTCAGGTAAATATTTGCGCTGCATTCGACTGACTCCGCATACCAATAGATTCTGCAGCACCATTTTCACACCCCAGCACCTTAACCCTGCACATCCACTAAACTAAACTGGTTGTGGTGAATTCTGAAGGAGCCTGAATTAATCTGAAATGCCAATTAGTGTACACGCAAATAAAAATAGACAAACTCAAGTAGTACGTGGCAATTGGCTGAGTGCGTCTTAGTGAATTGATAATAGAGTACTTGAGTGTACCTGTAAAGAAATTCTAGAAAATCTGTTTATTTAAGTTTTAAGAGAATTTAAATTTACTTTATACACATAATAAAAGTTTTTGTATACCATAACTATTATTATGCAAATGATGGATGACAGAGTAAGATTCAAATGCTCATATAAACAAGTAGGCCATGTTAACCTGGAAGTTGCACATAATTTAAGTGCTTTCAGTGTGTTACTTGCAAGTTGAAGAAAGTAGAGGTAAGCACTTCTCTTAATGGGGTCTAAGGTAATATATACCGATACCGGCAGGGACACATCCTGGGAAGCACCAGAGCGTCTACACTGTCAGCTTTCTTGTACTCTTCGATGTTCCTATGTTCAGATGAGGGTGATGTTAGTCAACCGATTTAGTTCGTCGATTGTCTCTCTACATTCTTTTAATATCTTTGATTTTGATGTGAGGAATTCAAGGACTTTGATTGCTGCTTGGCTGTCAATGAAAATGGCAATATTACGTTTGTCCTTGATGTGACTTGCAATCTGTAAAACTGTGGTCTCATTAGGTAGCCTAAGAGACTTGTTAAGATTTTCAGATGGCGTGAAGATCCCTGCTCCTGCTCCAGATATAAGTAAACTTTTATATTATATATTTAATTATGTTACTTAGGACACCGTATTATTACTGAGTGTTGATACAAACATTTAAAAACAAAATTGTAGGAAGTTGAATTATTATTATTAGACAATATTATTATTGTGATATTATAATAAATTCATTAGATTTCATTATTTTGACATTGTTTGTTATGTTACTGAAATTGGTAGCTATTTTTAAATGGACTGACGCTATTTTAACATCTAATTTTCGCAATATGTTCGTTATTTTCAGATTTGAGTTCAGTTCAGTTTAGTTCGCTTTTGTGCAGCACGAATTTTGCACCCATACATACAAAATCTTTTCATTCCGCAATCATACAAAATCGTAGCATATCCAAAGGAGCAAATTTAACAAGTTTGGTACGTGAGGATAATGCGAAGCTTGCGTGCGAATTATTATCATCTTGAGTGAAGCATTTTCTCATTTTCTTCTTTTCCAGGAATATTAAGGATAATTTCACATTTGTAGCTACAAAATATTCGTTATTGTTGTTGTTGCAGTTGATGTTGCTGCTATTATTTTATACACACTTAAGATTATATACGCTTTTAATAACCAGTGTCATAGTGTCACAAAATATGTTTTGAGAGACAAAGGTCAGATTGTTTTTTGTTATAACTAAAGTTGCGTGGTGTGCAAGGATTATTGTAAAATAATGTTTTAAAAAAACTTGCTGTTTTATAACAAATTTTTAGTTTTATTGGGACTTTATTTGACCGTAAAATGCAACTTCCCTCTTTGGTTTAGTTGATGTACTGCTCTGGCTTGAATGCACACTG